GGCACATGCAATCATCAAGCATCTATTACAGAATGATGCGTGTGCTGAGAAAAATTTATGGGCTTATTCTTCTGCCGCAATTGATTTCAAGTACATCATTAATAACTTTTGTCGGAATTCACGTGTTTGTGGTGAGTCTATTCCCCAGAAATGCCAAAAATGAAAATTCACATTAATGTCCCTGAACATCAAATTCACTCCGACTTATTCTATTTCATTTTAATTATGCAATTTCACTAACAATAATAATAATCATAATAATAACAACAATATTAATCATTATTATTTTTTTCATTCATATTTTCTACAAATTAAAACTTGCATTATTAAGAAAAAAATGTCCAGGTAATTAGAACAATTATAATTATGATTATAATTATTGTTCAATTTTTTCATTGACGAAAATTTGAATTTATATAAAATTACCCAGACGAAAACCGTAAACCTAGGAGATCCATCATCAGCAGGAGTTGTCCTATTAACTCTCTTCAGCGCTCTTATTCAACTGGGAGTATATTGTCTCGCGGGTAATTCTATAATTGTGGCGAGCGATCTCACGACATCGGCGGCATACAATTGCCAATGGTACAGAGAAGATTCAACATTCAAAACCAAAATGACGATATTCCTATCAATGTCGAAAAAGCCCATGTCCGTCAGTGCCATCGGCCTCTTCGAGTTGTCCTGCATTACGTTGAAAAATGTGAGTAAAAATAATTCAACTGATTAATCAATACCAATTTACGCACGTGAACTTCAATTAATCAATTACCTCTAGTCATTTTTTATTTATGTGTACTTTGTCCACAGGTTCTAACTAAATCTTATTCGGCAATGGCGCTTCTGCAAAAATCTGCTGAATAGATTAATTAGTCCACTATTTATTTAACACTGTACACTGAATTTATTAAAATTCCTTCTGCTGTATTGTGATTTTGTAATTTATTATCAGTATATATATATGATTGTAATAGATTAATAGGAGAGTCTGGGAAAATTCATAAAGCATGGCGGAAAATTTATGCTCTTTACCCTCGTGCTAAGAGGAGACCTATTTTCCCTCCTCTGTTTTTCACGTTCACCGCACATAAAAACATTTTTATTTGAACTGACCTTCGCGTGGGTATCATCGATTGATCTCCTATTGATAATCCTAAAAATCCGCCAATTACCTTTCATAAATTCCAGAATTCCCGCCTCCATGTCTGACACAAGACTGAACTCCAATTCCTATCTCCAGATTCAACGCACAAGATCGCATCAATAAAATATTTGTTCTCTAATAAATTCATGAACAGTCGTTACACTATTCCCAGAATTTTTGTACAATTCCTCCAAAAATTATGAAATAATAATCACGTAATGAGTCTGAAATAATTCAGGGAGAATCAGAAGCTGCAGCGGGTATTATCGATTGAATTACGCTTTTATTATTCTACGGTACTCCGAAGGCAACTGCCGGATAATATATTGCATAGAGATATTGTCATCAATGCGTAATGAGATAATGAGGGGAAATGTAGTAGCTGAAGACTTGGAGGGA